CAACATCAGTACTTTTGACAACACTACTCCTGACATTAGAAAGAAACTAAGCCCTTTTTAACAGAGCCACTACATGTTGACAGAGTTATTTGTCTTGCTTTTGTAAATTTGTTTCTTTGTCCCAGTGCTGCCAAACATGAGGAATTGAGTTTATAAAGCGTAATGTTGCACGGAGGTATTCCTGTAGGCCACGGGAGGCACTGTGCAAAAGTAGCAGTAAATATTCAAGAAATACTACATTTATTTATTTACTCCTTGTTAGAGATTGCCTTGGGCTGAGTGGTGCACAATGATGCTTTATTTTATTTTTAATTTTTTTTCTAATACCCTTTCAAGGATTTCTACTGATAGGAACCGATGACACGGGTATCTCGCTGTACCATTAGTGTCAGTTTTCATTAAGCTTGTGTCCCCTGAATGCTCGCATGCAAGACGATGAGAGCTTTGCTTTTAAGCTGCAGCTATGGAAACAGCTTTGTTCTGCTCTCATGGAAAATGTTCTTCTAAATTTTTGCCATTATATTTGAACTGTTTTGATGCAGTTCCCTCTTAAAGAGGCCGACCCCTTATCCCTGGTGTATATATCTGGTGTCATTTCAGAATATATACTTGGAGTATTGCATGTGAGACAGTTTTAGTTCTTGAAAGCCTGTGTTGAGAGTTAGTATTAAAGCATTAGTATATGAATAGATTTTTTTTTAGCCGTGTCTGAAATTGCTGTTTTCTACATTATACAGGTACAGTATATTAGGTGGTGTATGTATATAAAACATTATTTTATAATATGTTATATCATACTATATTATAATATAATATAATATACACTAAAAAAATGTTGTAGGATTTATAATCTCACTCATAAACTCACTTTTATTAATTGTTTGTGAATTTCACAAATAATTCCTAAGAAATGGCAAGTAACACATTGAATTAAAAGTTACATTTTACAAGTTACAAATTTTAATATTACATTTTACATTTCAATATTTTTTAGATTAGTAAAAAAAAAAAAAAGCTTAGGAAAAAAGGCTGAAATATTCTGCAATAATCTTTTATTTTTTTATCAACAATAATCTTTTACAGTGTGTAATACTGATTTATTATGTAATCGTACCATTCACAAAACAAAAAAGCAAACAAGAACATGTATAGTTTTAAAGAAAGGTTCACGTAAAATAAAGTGCATATATTTACATCAGTAAATTTGATTAATAAAATTGATTATTCATTTGTTCTTTCATATAGTACATGTGTCATTTGATGTACAGAGAACAGTGAAAGTCATTTTGGACACTGCATTTCATTAATATTTCAATTTATTTCTTATCTAAAAGTGTGTATAACATGTTAATAGGGATGTAACGATTCACTCAACTCACAATTCGATTCACGATTTTGATTTCTTGATTCGATTCACGATTTATTTATTTTTTACTAAATGAGATTCAAGACAAATTATTAATTAAATGTGTCATTTTATTATTGCTTGGACAAAATGCTGCACATTTCTTTGTGAAATTGAAATATAACTATAATAATACACTAATATAGCACTTGCATATTATTGCTCTTTTGTTGGTTTTGATTGCTTCTATTGTCCTCATTTGTAAGTCACTTTGGATAAAAGCTTCTGCTAAATGACAAAATTGAAATATAATGTAATTGTACATAACATAACTAAATTGAAATTTTAAAACAAGCCCCAAATCAAATACATAAGTAACACAAATAAAATAAATCTCTTCATATAAACAAAATAAGGCTTTGTCTGTGCTCTTTCCATTTAAAATTAGAGGCAACAACTGCATTTTAATCATGATCCAAACAAAGATGCTGCATACGTGCAACATGATCAGTTTTTAATCTAAATTAGATTGTATAATTTCGAAATTTGAAGCAAAAACAGAATGGTTTGACTTATGGTTTTGTGAAACTATACATAAGAATATCTGTGGACGAGCTGAATGAGACGCAGATTCACTCTCTGCCAGCAGGTGGCGCTTAAAGCGTTTCCTTGGGTTCCGCTGTAAACAAAGCAGCGCTGCACTTATGAACTTTAATATGCATTATACAGACGCTAGATGAAAAGAAAAAATACCATCTAAACTTTTCTAAAGACAGTAAGCTCCCCTCAGACATGCATTCATATAAACTCCTACCCCTAAATGAATCGCGATTTGTTTAGCATCTCAACCGATTTGAATCGTCACATATTTGAATCGATTTTCAACAAGATCGCGGTTAATCATTACATCCCTACATATTAACATTGTTTATAAGGCACTTGATCATTGATTTTGCTTGCCAGTTAGCATAACCTAAAGAAAAAGTTGCTTCTTTTGAAAGACAAGTTGAGAAACCTAGTAATGTTAAAGTGGTGGCTGCACATCACAAGTTTTATGTTAGATAAGGAACAATTGAAGCTGTCTTTCATGTTGGCATATATTCATTGGCTTAAATAAAGAACACAGCACTAAATCATTTAGCTGAATACCATTGTCAAATTCCAGCCATTTCCATTCACTTTTTTCCATCACCTTATTTTCTTCTCTGTATCTCCTCATTTCTTCTTTAAGGTGTCTTTGTCTTCTTAGAAGTTTTCGATTGAATTAACACAGGATGGAATTTATGTGGTTGCCGTGGAGAGGTGGGTAAGAGTGTAGTAGCAAAATGTGTCTTGTCTGTCACTTAGCTGTCATTCCATGTGGTCATGTGAATCATCCCCTTTTCTTTCCTCAAACTTGTCTTTATCTCTAGCTGGAATGGTTGTGTAACTTAAACCCGACTGCACCGATGGGATTCATCAACAGCATATCTACAACGGTGAAGGACTGCCATTAGCACTTCTGTGTTCAGTGACCATTTTGCATGAGAAACAAATGGCTTGAGCTATTCTCTGAGAAATTAAAGCATTCACTAATATGCAAGTAGGTGGAGAGATAATAAGCCATATTAGTATTATTTTCCTTTTTCCCCAGGGACCCATTTCACACCATGTCACAACTATAGATGGAGTAGAATTACAATGAATCTGAGCACATCCTCCCAAAGTAAAACAAGGTTGTTTTTTTTTTGTAGTCCAATTCAGATTTCATCTTGAAAAGCTAGTATTTCTTCTAAAAAGTCTTCGAAATCTCCTCTGCTAGTTAATGGAACTGTAATTTTCCATTGGACGTTGGAGACAATAAAAATCAGGGCATGCTTTTGTGCACTAGGGCACTAAACACACAGTCAAGCATTCCAGCTATTAAGTCAGTATTAATGGATTAAAAGCATTACATGCAGTGATTGAGCACTCATTCTCAATATTGCTTTAAAACGTCACAAAAGTCTACACAAGTACAAAGACACGAACAACCTTTTTTTCCATAATGTTCTGATCATTATTATAACAACATCAACAACAAGGGGAAATTAGGACATGTTCTAGTTTGAGTATGCCTCAATTAAGTTGGAGCATTATGCATTTTGCCCTCTGGCCACATTTTAAATTGAAGAGTTCAACTAGCCACTATTGAGTTTTCATCAGATTGCTTTTGTGATTCATGTTTACTGGTTCTGTTCCAAAACCTAGTGAACTGCATACTGCCTACATAGGCGGTTGCTTTGAAGGACCTTCTCAAGTGACTGATTTGGAATACTAATATTTTAAGTATATTGTAAATGCACTTTATAGATACAATCTATAATATGTATACATATAGAAACGTATACATAAAATGTGTTTGTGTATATATATATATATATATATATAAAAATTCTAACTAATTTAATTGAAGCAGTTTAATGTTGCATATATTCATAATTATTTATACTTTTTTTATTCTTTTCAGAAATAAGAGTAGAAGTATATTTTAATTGTAAATATACTTTTATAATTATAAATAAATTATATAAATGTATATTTAATAAATATAATTATGTAATTTATGCAAAAGTATTATAAAATATTATTTTTTTGAATTTATAAAATAATAAAATATTAACTATAATATACATTTTTTTAAAGAACACAGCCCTAAATCTCTTCTTTGAATATCTTTGTCAAGTTAAGAGTAAAAGTGTATTTAGTGTATTTAGAATTGTTTATAATTATATAAATATTAAATTAATATAAAATTTATTAAATAATAAAATTATTAACATGATAAATTCTAACTAAAATTATTTATATTTAGAATTTATATTTTGTATTATTTCTATAATTTTCTTTAAATAATATCTTCAAATGTTTAGGTAGTCGGGTCACTGGGGTGTGTGTTTGGAGGCTATGACCTGTAGATTCATCTGTTTTTCAAAAATCTGATGGAAACTCAGTGGTGGCTGGTTGAGCTCCTTAGTATAAAATGCACCCAGAGGGGGTGAAACATAATCTTAATAATTATGCTGCCTACCTTTTGGAACAGCCCTCCTGTGATGTCTTAAAATACTGTGTAGGTAGATAGCTCACTAGGGTTTGAAACAGCAAATATGTGTACACGGGAGGCAAATCACCTGTGGATCCAGCTCAGGTCCACTCATGACAGTCAGAACACCAGATTGTTGTTATGTTGGGGATTAGATGCCTGTTTCTGCAGATAAGAGGGAGAATGAGACAGCTGGAATGATTATGAGAAAAGAACAACAGGTCCTCCTCCCCCCCCCCTCCCTATCGCTTGCACAGCGTGCTCTGGGCATGCTCAGTGGAATCTCGCGTTAAACGCCTGTGTGCTTTTGTTGTCTCTGTGCCGCTCATCCTAGCGCCTGCAGAATGCCCCTCTCTCTCCCTCCCTATCTCTTTCTCTCTCTCTCTCTCTCTCCCTCCCCCCCTCCATCTCCTCTCCTCTCACTGCACATTAGCCAGCCAACACCGCGGCGAGATGCGCGTGAAGAGGAGAGCTCCGGTGAACACCTGGTACTCCGGGCGACTCCAGAGCAGGGGTGTCTGTTTTGACCCTTTCCCTCTTCCAGTGCCCTGAATCAAACACTGTCCCACATCTTACCGGACTTTCTCTCATCAGATCTGAGAGTAGGATCTCCCGACTGGCTCAGAGACTCAACCAGAGGCAGAGCGATGCTGCGCTGATTAAGGATTTCAGACCCCTCTTCCTTCTTTCTGGCACTGCGGGAAGCTCTCAGAGCTTGGACAGGTGAGTTGAGCATCTCTTTCGCTCTCGTCCGTCCGCAGTCACTTACTTCAAGTGTACTTTTCCTCAGTATGATTCCCCCCTTAAGTGTTGCTAAAATTACCCATCACCCCCTGCTGCTTCCCACAGGTGCTTCTCAGTCATCCTGGCAGCTGCCTTTTCATTTTTTGATTTGCTTAATTGGATTCAAGGCATAACCTTATCTCACTCGATTACTCACTGGTGTTAGAGGCTTCACTCTGGCACTGCAGAGTGCATTATTATTAGTGCTCTGAGTAGGTGTTTCCACACTCAAAAACTGCGCACAAGAACAAAAAACAGGACACTGCCTTAATGTCATGTCTGACAGGATTATAGACCGCTGGGATGAGAAATACCACATAGATCCCCTACGGTTCCATAGCTTTTAAGCAGAATGTCAATTAAGGACAAATTTGATGTCATTGCGAGGTATATATATATACATTAAAAAAAAATTTGAATAATGAGAGCTTCCAAGTTCTCATTTATTTTTGCAACAGCATTTTTTTTTTTTTGCTCTGTTCAGACAGTGTGTACTCGCACCAGATGTTTTGAAAAATGTAGCCAATCTTGTCTTTTATTCAGGCATTTATATTAATTGTTTTTAGTACACGTCATGGAGTGATTGATGGTTGATATAGAGGTGCTACTTGTCTGTGGTTACATAAACTGCAGATAATTTACCAGGTGATGAAGATCAGAAATCAGAACAGTGTTCAGAATATTCTTTCACAAATATATACATTTTTGGGATGCAGCAAAACAAAAATTACATACTGTATGTTGTGTTTTTTCCTTAATAAATTGGATTCTCTCAACAGCTACTATAAATTCACTTTCTGAGTTTACTGTTATTGTTAGCTCAGAATTAATTGATTTCCTGGAAGATTTCATTATAGTATAAGAACATTGAGGATATCCTTGATAACCAGACTATGTTGTCCTGCAGTGATGGTCACGGTCTGGCCAGTGCTATCTCACGACCAATTCGTACGTATTTTGCAAGGTGGCTAATTCATAAAAATGTTTGTATGATTTCTGTAAGGGTTAGGGGTAGGGTTAGGGGTAGTCCTTCATACAAATTCCTATGAATTTGCCACCTCGTAAGATTTTTCACAAATCATACAAATTTGACGGGTGAGGTCGTACGAATTAGCCACCTAGTAAAATATGTACAAATTGCCATTATATCAGTTTGGTCTGGCTGCCATTGTTAATAAAATTGTCTGTTATGGATCGTTGAGAGATATCAGTTTTGATGTTGACTAATAATGTCATGAAATTAATGTCAGTTTTTTTTTATTAAATTCTTTTGAAGGAATGCAGTTTATGCCTATGAAATCTCTAATGCTCAAAGCTTTTTTTAAATTTATTTGATTACAAATACAGTAAAAATAGTAACATTGTGAAATATTTAAAATAACTTTTTTATTTTAATATATTTTAAAATGTAATTGATTCCTGTGAAGGCAAAGCTGAATTTTCATCAGCCATTACTCTTCAGTGTCACATGATAAAAAGAGTTGATTTGCTGCTCAAGAAACATTTCTTATTATCTCAATTGAAAACAGTTGCTTAATATTTTTGTAGAAAAGGTAACACAGTTTTTCAGGATTTTTTAAATAATTGAACATTCAAAAAAACCGCGCTGATTTGAAATAGAGCACCGTAAAAGTCTTCACTGTCACTTTTGATAAATTTAACGCATTCTTGCTGAATAAAAGTATTAATTTCTTTAAAAGAAATTAAACTTTCAGGCAATAGTGTACAGTAGATATCAGAAAGGTTTATTTGGAGGTCACATATTTGCTTTTTCTTTTCAAAATAAAATACCTATGCAGTTATTTTGCAGGTAGCTTTTTGCTTGAGCTGAGGAATTAATGACTATCCAGTGGCCATCTGTCACCAAGACACTACTGACTCAGATATTAGTCATAAATTGCATACCAAAACACATGCTATGAATTTATTTCGAGTGCACCCCCTTAACAGCACTGATGTAACAGTCATCACACCTAAATTTGTTTTGTCTGTTCTTCTTCCCTTCTCAACTCCACAGGAACTTCTCCATTAGTATGACCCAACAAATGCAGAACCTGCAGCTGACGCAGAATAAGAAGGGGGCGGGTCCCGCCTCCCCCAGTGCTGCCAAGCGCCTCTACCGAAACCTCTCTGAGAAGCTCAAGGGGAGCCACTCCTCCTTTGAGGATGCCTACTTTTTTGGTCGATCTGACCGTATCCACAAAGTATCTGTGAGTATCTTAGAAAATAAAAAAAATGGGTATCAGTAATTCACAATTTTTCTTATAATAAAAAGCTGACATTAGCCAACATTTATACGTATACTATAGAATCAATTGATGTAAACATTCACTTTACCTTACACATGACATGCTTAAAACTGGAATGACATTTTGGGTGATCATGAATCTGTTAGCGCTGTGCCATGCTCTCAGAACTTACACAAATGTCACTGATTATATACAGCTAGATCTAGCAATCATCTTGTTGACACAAGTGCCCTAATACATCTTTCACCCTCGCTGCCTCCATATGTTTTCATACATGGATTTAACTCACAATTGAAGAGTAGAAACTCAGCTGCTGTGGCTGTTAGATTAGATGTGTGAATTCACATTTTAATTATTAATAATTATTGCATTCATTGATTGGGGTACTAGTAGTTTCTGGTGCATGCCTGGTTACAGACCTGTGCTAGTAATTGTAAGGTTGTAGGTCAAACCCATGAGAAATCATCCATTGGCAATCTGTGCTCTTTTTCACATTGTCTGTGCCGATTGTTGGTGAAAGTCTGTGAATGTTTTTTTTTTATTAATTGAGAGTATTTTCTGCAATCCCAGTTAACAGTTATATGCATTAACATCTATAAGACAGACATTCATAGCTTGACTTTTCTGACCATAAACCATAAACATGGCTATGCAGTGCATTGCAAAATAATTAAATAAAATAAAAAATTGATCAAGCATTCCAACCAGCTTAATAATACAACATTGGCTAAACAGATCACGTGAGTCTGTTTATCCAACTAATTGCAGAATTCGAAATCAAAATGTCAAAATATTTCAATATAAAGTAGTATTCTATTTTTGTTAATTCAAAATACAATTATAATAATCAGAAAAAAATATATACACTACTATTCAAAAGTCTGGGGTTAAGATTTTAATGTTTGTGAAAGAAGTCTCTTATGCTCACCAAGGCTACATTTATTTGATCAAAAATACATAAAATACTGTTACAATTTAAAATATTGTATTAAATTAAATTAAATTAACATATTTTAAAATGTAATTGATTCCATACTTCAGTGTCACATGATTGCCAGTAATGTCCTGATTTGGTGCCTAAGAAACATTTCATATTATTATCAGTGTTAAAGACAGCAGCTAAATATTTTTGTGGAAACTGTGATATATTTCTTTCAGGATTCTTTGATGAATAGAAAGTAAAAAAAACAGCTTTTATTTGAAATTAAAAAAAATTTGTAACAATGTAAAAGTCTTAACTGTCGTTTCTGATCAATTTAATTTGTCCTTGCAGAATAAAAGTATTAATTTCTTTCAAAACGAAATGTTACTGATCCCAAATGGTATATACAGTGGTGTGAAAAAGTGTTGGCCCCTTTCCTGATTTCTTTAATTAGTCATTTGTTTATTTTATCAAATGTTGGGCATTCTGATTACTAAAGACATCTATTGATCTTTTGAGTCACAGAATCTGTTCTAACAATCATTGTTGTTGTACAGTTGAGCAGAGATTTTAACCAAAAGGTGCACTAGGGGGATTGTTCCAGTAACAAGTGTTCTGCAAGTTACAGTGTATAAAAGTGTCTGCTAAATGACTACTTAGAGTATCATGAGTGCCGCTGCTTACCTTCAAACCATTTTTTCTCCTCACAGAACATTCAGAGCAGTGAGGCTCTGTTCGAGGCTGTTGAACAGCAGGACCTGGATGCCGTACAGATCCTGCTGTTTCAGTACACAACTGATGAACTGGACCTCAACACCCCCAACAGTGAAGGCCTGACACCTCTGGACATCTCCACCATGACCAACAACGTCCCCATAGCCAAACTGCTACTCAAAGCTGGAGGGAAGGAGAGCCCTCACTGTGAGTATGCATATTTAACAGCGATGAGCTTTAACAGTCAATTCCCTCAGTGTGTCTAAAGTGTTTCCTTATTAAAGAGCCACTAAACCATTCTTGAGGTTTACAATGTAATTTGACTGGAATTAATCAATTAATTAATCTAGTCCTTACGAACATTTAACATGGTGGTGTCACGATATCACCCTGTTTGGATGTTGTTCTCTGTTTGCACTATTTCCCTGCCTGTTTGTCATCAGTTACTGATCTGATTTCTTCATTACGTTCAGCTGTGTTTTCATTATCACCTTGTTGGTCTGTCTATTTAAGTTTTTTTTTTTTAAAGTTTTTTTCACCTTTTCCAGTGTTGTCAGTGTATGGTTGTGCTTCTTTGTTTGCTAGTGTGTGGATTTACTTATGGATTTATTAAAGACACTTTGAACAGTCATCTTCCTTGTTGTGTGCGTGGTTTACAACCAGTTGTGACAGGTAGTTTTCACCAAAATGCCATAGAATATTTATTGTCCTCATTTTTGATGAAAACAAAACATTTTAAAATACTAGCATTTTCTTAGTAAAATAACTTTTTTTGTTTTTATAGATTTTATTTGATTTAATGTGTTAAGTCTTGTGTCCCCTCATTAAATGTCAGCTGTTGCATATTGATATATAAAATATATTCCAAATGAATACAGTACTGTATACTTGTACTATACTTGAATACTAGTACTACTGTATATACATATAGGCACACACATATATATATATATATATATATATATATGTATATATACTGTATATATACACATACACACATAGTATGTAGTATTCAATTTATTAACACTTAAACACACTGTGTGATGAAATATTTCAATTGTATAAAATAAAATGGTTTAAAAAAATCACTTTAGCAATAAAATATCTAAATGTATGAATTTATGAATCTGTATATATATATATATATATATATATATATATATATATATATATATATATATATATATATATATATATATATATATATATATATATATATATATATATATATAGTTCAGTTTATTAACACTTAATCACGTGATAAAATTTTTCAGTTTTACAATTAATCTCTCACAGTAATACAATAAAATCTATTTTACAGTAGCTGTAATTCTGTGTTTTTGGCTGAATCAATGGTTACAATTTAGAAATTTTATTTAACATTAAAATTAAAATTTAATAAAACATTTTATTACTTGGATTTTATTACTTTTAATATCTTAGGTTACTTTTGTATTTTTTGCTTATCATCACATTTTCATCCCTAAGGAATAGAAGTGCATTCTATGTGGTTTCTTTACCATCAAAAGGTTTTTCTTGCGTCACACACTCCTGTTTGGCTTTGGCAACCAAAAGCAGATGCTCTGTAATTAGACAAGCTGTTTAGAATGAAGCTGACGATAAACAGACGGAGCCGAAGTGAGTGTTTGGCACTTTGCTTTAGGGACTCGTGTAATAATCGCCTCCAAGTAGGAATACTAGAATAAACTTTTCCATGACAGCTGCCATAAGCACTCATAATTCTACATTAAACATCTAATGACATCTGTCGTGACCACTAATGAGTTAATGAATTGCGTTCATTATGTAATATTTTGGTAATAACATTGTACAGTGTCACATACTGTACCCTTATAATAAAACAATCATTGTTGTTATTCATGCATTTTTTTTTCAACTATTTTTGTGACAACCTGGGTGCGGATATCAGGTTTTAATGCATCAAGAACAGATCTGTTAAAAATATCTGCACCCATTGCCCTTAGATTAATCAATAGCATATTCAGTCCCTGAGTCTTTAGCAACAGTAGAACAGGTGTTTCTTACATTGAAAGACGTGGGGGGGGAAGTCCTCCAGTCCCGAGCGCTCAGTGCAATCATGAAAAAGCCGAATGTTGTTTGAGACCAAACGGAGCAGTCTGAGCGAGGCCGGGGTGGGGTAGACAGCACACGGCATCCCTCAGAAAAATCTTAACAAGGTTTGTCGTTTAATGGTTTAACTTTTCCAATGATGCATGTAACAGGGGGCAATTATACTAAGTGATTTATTGTACCCGGGCTGCAGTTAAATTTAAAAACATTTCATCATGGCACAATCCAATCCTTGTAAACAAACAGAAAATAAACATTGCCGTATTTTCCTCTCCTGGGCTTTCGGCATTATATTTATGTCAGTCCAGAAATGCCAAGTAAATCAATCAGCCAGACGCCTGACAGTTTGGAGGTCTGACCAAAGGCTGAAGTTAAAGCATAGTTATGGGCAGGACTGGGGCCCATAATGCCTATATTTCGGGCCGTCCTAAAGTCCCTACAGTGCCAACTGTGGGTGACAGTGCAATTTCGTCCGACTTGCTCATTAATTTATAGTTTGTTCAATTAACCGCATGTAGTAGCCAGATGTCAGTCTTCAGAGCGCAGGAAATTGCACCTCATGGCAGCTAATATGGCTACCTTTTCCACTGCGCTGTGGACCCCCGTGTAAGACCGGCTAGGTTAGACCCTCTTTTTTTCGAGTTGACAACATGCACTTTATCATCTCCCCCGGAGAGCTGCCATCTCCAGTGAAAGAGGGTTTCTTCAGCCATGTATTTATTTGTTTATTTTGCTGTCATGGTCTATGACTAAGGCTCTGAAAGAAAATGCAGTAGTATTCACAGCCTATGAGGAGGACTGGTCAGGCAGTATTCATTTTACCATGACAAATCTATATGGCCAAACACAGTCCTGTGTGTTCCAGACGACCGTAGACTACATTCATCCACACTGCTATGCTGACACAAGTGGTGTGAGCTTGGAGAATTAATGGTAGTGTAATGGGCTTCCTGTCATTTCAATCAGTACTTTTATTTTTGGTTCATGTAAGTTAGAGATACATTTGATCAGTCTGCTACTGCATGTCTTTTTCACATTACAGTTTTGATTATAAATAAGTTGATGAATTTGCAAGCAAAAACTATTATGCCCTGCCTACACTGAAAAAAAAATTGTGAAGAAACAATTTTACTTGATTTTTATTTATTTAATATTTTTTGGTTATGGAGCGTAATGCTACAGTAGGTTTCCAGAAGTAAATGTCCTGGTCATTGTCTCCATAGAGAAATTGATTTTCAGCAGTAACGCATAAACCCTTCAAGTCAGAGCTACCATGAGGCTGTTAAATTATGACACATTCTTCTGTAGAAGCCACAAGTGTGAATTAAATATTATTTCAGATAAAAATAGCTGTATTTCTGGTGAAGAACTCACTACTCATAATAATTATATCTGTCTCTTATTTTGAAGTTTATCTAGCTTTTTTTGTATCTTGTCTGTGTTTGCTTCCACTTTCTTTTGAATTCTGGTTGCTTTTCTATTGGTTTTGAATTCTGGTTGTTTTTCTTTCGGTTTATTGATTTGTCATGTGTTGGTTTTGCTTACTGGTTTATGTTTATCTTTGTAGTTGTTTATTATTGCATGTTTTCTATGTTCTTGTTAGCCTTCTTACTGAGTTTTGATGAGTTCATTTTCTATGTAAACCACGCTCTGTTTATTTGGTTCTGCTTTGTTTGATTTTTGTTGCTTTTCACTTTTTATTTATTCATTATAGCTCAAAAACCTACACTACTCATAATCCTCAAGAGAGATAAACCAATCAGAAACCACTGTCACCATGGATACAAATTTCTACTCCCTACACTCTCGAAATGCATATATATTTAACCATAAACTCAAAATATATTGTTTTTATAACTAAAAGTTTATTACATCAATCTCAACGCTTCATGGAATGAAGGCTTCATTTCCTTATAAATGAATTTAAGTGTGCAATCTAGTGTCTGTTTTCAAATATTTTTGCTTCCAGTTCTACTCAGAGCTGGTTGGTTTGGTTCAAGGCTTATAAAACTCTTTATTGAAAAATCTTTTCACTGCCCACAGAGGAAATGATGAGAAAAAAATTCCAGTACCTAGGCCACTGAGAAAATGTTTGACCAGAGTTGTGCTCTATTGTACAAGAGCTCGAATGTGTAAATCATTTTCATTTTGTAAATCATTTTCATTTCATAGCAGAGAACGTCACTAGGTTACGTATGTAACCATGGTTCCCCGAGGGAACGAGACGCTGCGTCGAGATTCGCTTTGGGAACGCCCTTGCGTGACCGCGTTCTGAAGCACGTGTCAAATCCGTCCAATGGAGCAGCGAGATGTCACGAGCAGGGTGACGTAAGCACCAGAAAGCATAAAAGCGCATCCGGCCGGGCGCCACCCAGCTTCGATGAAGTAGCGCCTGCAGGGATGCAGGGAGTATGGCAAAGAGACGCAGCGTCTCATTCCCTCGGGGAACCATGGTTCAACTCGAGCTGCGTCGAGATTCGCTTTGGGAACGAGAATACCAACTGCGCCATACAAGTCCCTGCCCCCTTGGGGAAAATCCTTTGGTTCTGAGCCACCTCTGCAAGGGTCTCATGTACAGCAGGCCAAAAGGTATCACGTTGGACGCCGCTGCCATCAGGCCCAACAGCCTCAGAAACTGTTTGACAGTGAGTGACTGGCCTTCTCTTACTCTCGTGACTGTCGTGAGGATTGACTCGATTCGAGCAGGAGACAGACGTGCCTGCATCGAGGTTGAGTCCCACACCACGCCTAAATAAGTGGTTCTCTGTAGTGGAGAAAGAACACTCTTCTTGGCGTTTAGTCTTAACCCCAGCTCTCTCATATGGGCGAGGACGACATCTCGATGCCGAGCCGCCATCTGCTCCGATTGAGCTAGTATTAACCAATCGTCGATATAATTGAGTATGCGGATGCCCTGGAGTCACAGTGGAGCCAGAGCAGCATCCACACACTCCGTGAAAGTGTGGGGTGAGAGTGACAGTCCGAAGGTATGCTTCGCCCCCGAAAGCAAACCTCAGGAACTTCCAGTGTTGCATGGTAGGACCATTTCGCCGAGGTTCCCTTAGACAAATAATGGTCCGCAGATCCGTTTTCGGATCCACCCGCGATCCCCACGACAACAGTCTGCGCTGTGCCTCGGCAACAGCGGGACCGCTGCCAGCAGGATCGCGATCCTGGCGGCTCTCATCAAACGCAGCCAGGCGAGAGCGGAGCGTGTGCAGCGAGAGTAACTCGCAGTGATGACAATCAGCTGCTCGAAAGCTGACCGTGCATGCTTCGCTCCTAAACAAACGACACAAATCGTGTGTATCCCTTGCCGCCAGATATCGTGGGCAGGGAGAAACACAGCGTTTGTAATGCCGTTCGCTCGCCATAGACTTTCTCATTGTTTTATATATATGAGTGCTTGTGCGGACAGACAACAGTAAATAGACAGACACATACACAGAGCGCTACTGAAGAGCAGAAGCTGGGTGGCACCCGGCCGTATGCGCTTTTATGCTTTCTGGTGCTTACGTCACCCTGCTCATGACGTCTCGCTGCTCCATTGGACGGATTTGACACGTGCTTCAGAACACGGTCACGCAAGGGCGTTCCCAAAGCGAATCTCGACGCAGCTCGAGTTCCTGAAGGGGAACCTGTATTTTCTACACTATACAGGTTTGAAGTAAGACATTTTGACTTTACACCTCACCTAATATGTAATATAAGTCTCTGGTGTCCCCAGAATGTGTCTGTGAAGTTTCAGCTCAAAATACCCCACAGGCCATTTATTATATGTGACCCTGGACCACAAAACCAGTCTTAAGTCACAGGGGTAATTTTCACTACACCAAATACACAAAATAATGTTCTTTTTAGCAACATCATATGACCCCTTTAGCTGCTGCTCCCCGCCCGCTTTTCCAGAATAGAGCTGCGCAATTACAGCGTGTACCTGCTAAAAAAACATCTGTTTTGGTTCAGATTATCATGTTTATTGCGCTGTGTAGCGTCTGGACCACTCCAACACACAATATATATTTTGTTAGCTAGATTTCACAAATACTTTGTAACACCCCAGGACGCCGAACAAGACCCTGGTTTCATGGTAACCCGATACATTTACAACCTTGTGGAATGCGAGCCGGCTCTCATTCTGCTTTCTCCAGAAACAAGGGGTACAAATGCACAGGAGAAATGGACTGTTCTACTAATTAATTCATAGGAAAACCTTCTTTGAATGAACACCCATTTTCTTCAGGCCATTGTGTATATTATTGCTGTGTTGTATTTAATCTGTTGTATTATAGACTATTTTTATTCATGCTTACGATAAACCACTCATTCATATAAGTAACTCTACCATGTCTAGTATCTATGAATTCGCCTTCTTATGATCGAAACAAGCGTGGATATTATATGGTGGTACATAGGCAATATATATTAGGGCCCTGAGAATCATTAATAATTTCGATTTAAGTACATTTGAAAATTACCATGCTTCGAGAACAAAGGGGTCGTAAACCCTCCAGCAATTGCCACCTCCCGCTCGGGAATTCCATTGTGCTCATTGGACAAGCCCATCTTGAAAGGCGGAGATCTTCTCCGACCTTAAAGGCCCGGCTCCAGGGACCCGCCTCAGTCGGTGGTTCGGCCAGAAGCTAAGAAAATGTGAGGAAACGCTCCAGGATACCAAAGCTCGTGCCAGGCTCCGGCCTAGTCCTTTTCATTCATCAAGTGATTCTGACTCAAACTAGCTTTTTCTCATCAACCAACTTCAGCAAGATCTTGGGGCCTTAAGATTGCATCAGGAATCTTTTTCAGACATACGCAAGTATCAAACTTAGTCGATTTAATTGATGCATTAAGTATCAGTTACACCTTTTTACAAGGTTTGTTTGAACTAAGAATCTGACGTTTTCCCTCAGGTTTTAGATCTGCTGAATATGCAAAATGGTTCCATAAATGTCATTCCTTATGTCTCTTTCTTTAGTGCTAAACTTTAACCCTTTCCTATACCAACTGTATGTGTGTGTGTGTGTGTGTATGTTTATGTTAGACCGGCTTAATGTGTTTGTGTAGTATGTTAGACTAGTTTAAGTTTTTATGTAGTTAATAAAACCTTACTTGTTTCACACTTGACGTGTTCATTGTTTACTCATAACCGGAGTCAATAATCATGCAGATTTACGTTACAAACTTATAGAATTGTACAGTAAGAAAGTTATTTCCTTTAACCAGGAAATTAACGTTCTTAGAATTGACAAGACGGTTGACCCTGAGTGGTCAGCTAAATATCTACAGTGGATCTAAAATATGAATAGTTAATTATAACTAGTTATGGTTAATTATTCATATTTCCCCATGAGCTGATCCGCTACAGCTGAAATCATGCATTTTAAACCATATTTGTTTAAACATCTGATATACGATTTTCTGAGCGCACACTGACAGAAAGCGGCTGTCACAGCATGTGAGTACTAAACTAAGTTCTCATTCACACACAAGTTTACGTTAAAAACACACAAGTTACAAAAACAGTCGGTTATGTCTGGGCAAGTAAACAGCTGGGAAATAAATCACATGTTTTTTTTAGATCTGTGTGGCAGCAGCAATATGCCGTAAATAAATCAATAAATCCACTGCTTTCTTGTCTCCTCTGAGGCTGGGAATCTAAATAGTGTTCTGTGCTCATCAGTGCAGCCAAAGGCAGAACAGTTAGCATGTTTTGTTCAAACTTTCGCCATGACATTAGAGCTGGTACACCGTTGTCGCTTGCGAAATCAAATGACGGCGCCGTGGGTAGAAACTTACAGATTAAGGGTCGGTGATATTATAATGAGATCCCTTTGCCACGTCACTAGGGGAGCGAAATCAGACGTGCTCGTTTTTGCAGATGCTTGCAGAAAAAGGCTTACCAAAACAAAGTTACTGGGTTAAACTTTTTTCACATTTCCTTGGTTGGTAGATGCACCGGGGACCTGATTATAGCACTTAAAACCTGGAAAAGTCAGATTTGCATGATATGTCACCTTTAAACTGAAATGCAAGGTTGTCCAAAAGCTAAAAAAATCATACTCATTGGAATTAATGAAAAGTCTCATTACCAGACCTCTGTGTTGTGTTTCAGTTGTCAGTTTGGAGAGCAGAGATGCCCATCTCTCAGCGCTGGTGCAGGAAGCCCAAAGGAGAGCCAGCGAGCTGTCCACCCAGGTGATGAGAGAAAGTCTCAGCCTGGAAACATCTGACAAGGAAAAACAGCTCAAAGCTTGGGAGTGGAGATGCAAACTCTACAAGCGCATGCGCACGGGATTTGAGCATGCACGTAAGTCGAACCTGAGTCTGCTATTGTTGTCTAACCTTTCAGAGGAAAAAAAGGTCATTCATATGTTATGATACAATAAAATACACATCGAACTAGCCTTATTTAATATCAGTCCTGTCTAATCTATCACTATCTGCTGAAAGGTCATCTATTCCCATATTGGCCCAACCTGTTAACTTTATTAGAATGTGAAAACAAGCCACTATGATCATTTGGCCCACAGATATTAATATCAGGTTGATTGGCCTGAAATGACTCTTGAGCTGCGAACACACACAATAGTGTCCCTCTCACCCTCCTGTCATATTGATTACTTGTTAAATCAGGTGAGTTTCGTTGGCTTCTCTTTGTAAACAACCTCAAGTGAAGGCAGACGTGATAAATCAGCAACGCTTTGCCACAGACACTCTCAAAAATAAGATTGCAGAGAAATACTCAGAGGTATCTCTGAAAAGGATTTCAGGAAACTCAAGAGCACCATTAGCTGTGCTGTGTGCTTTGGGTTACAAGTACAAAATGAAGGTGCTAACAAGAAGATGGAACCACATAAAACGTGCATGTATATATAAAGTGGGTATAGAAAAGAATCACCCCCTTTACAATAATCACATTTTGTTGTCATTTAGTTTTTGGTTTATCCAGCTGTATTTACTCAGTGCAACTTATAACATACAAGTGAAAGATATAACACCAACATGTCATAAAAAAATAAAAAAGAAGAATCCCTGAGTTGGAAAAAGGATCACCCCTTGTGTCAGTATTTTGTTGAACCACCTTTTGCTTTAATTACAGCCTTTAGTCTGTTGGGATATGCCTCTACTAACTGCACATGTAGACTTTGCCGTTTTTACCCACTCTTCTTTGCAGAACTGCTCAAGTTCAGTTAAATTTGATGGTGAGCATTTGTGGACTGCAATCTTCAAGTCATTCCACAGTTTTTCAATGGGGTTTAAGTTTGGACTCTGATTAGGCCATGTAAGGACATTCACCTTTTTCTCTTTCAACCACTGTGTGGTCAGTTTTGCTGTGTGCTTTGGGTCATTGTCATGTTGGAAGGTAAACCTTCTTCCCATTGACAACTTTCTGGTAGAGAGCAGCAGATTTTCCTCAAGAATTTGACTATATTTCGCCCCATCCACTTTTCCTTTTGTCCTTACAAGTGTTCCAGTCCCTGCTGCAGAGAAACACCCCCATAACTGGATATTACCACCTCCATGCGTTACTGAAGGAATGCTGTTATTCGGATGGTAAGCTGTATTGGATTTCCGCCAGACATATTGTTTATTGAGGCCAAATAATTAAATTTTAGTCTCATCTGCCTCAGAATCTTTAAGGTGTGTTTTAGCAAAGCTCAGTCGTGACTGCATGTGGCCTTTCCTGAGGAGTGGCTTTTTTCTTGCAACCCTCCCATATAAGCATTGAGAATTGTTATATTGTTGTCACATGCACACAATGACCAAAATTATCTTTGTCATAAATTCCTGCAACTGCTTCAGAGTTGCTGTAGGCCTGTTGGTCGCCTATCTGACCAGTTTCCTCCTGACTCTTTCATCCAATTTGGAGCAACGTCCTGATCCAGGGAGGGTCTGTGTTGTACCAAATAACTTCCACTTCTTAATAATAGACTTCACTGTGCTTCAAGGCATTGATAAAGTCTTTGAATTTTTTTATATCCATCTCCTGACTTGTGCCTGTCCACAGCTTTATCCCGGAGATCTTTTGACAGTGCCTTGCCACCCATAGTTGATTGTTTGCTGCAGTTGCGCTACCAAGAACTGAAATACTCCAGGAAAGCTCTTTTCATGCTGAGCTAATCAAAATGACCACAGATCACAGTTGAAAGTCAAATGGCTTTGTGTGCCATTGAGAAGGTGATTAGCTAAACCTGATTGAACTTACAAGTCATTTTTAGGAGGGGGGGGGGGGGGGACTTGATCACAGTTGAAAGTCAGATGGCTCTGTGTGACATTGAGAAGGTCATTAGCTACACCTGATTGAGTTTACAAGTCCTACAGTATATTTGTGGGGGGGGGGGGGGGGATCCTTTTTCCAACTCAGTGATTCTGTTTTTTTTTTGTATATTCAGACATGTTGGTGTTATATCTTTCACTTGGATGTTATAAGTTGCACTGAGTAAATACAGCTGGATAAAACAAAAACTGTGTTCCGTCTTCATTTCAGGCTGCAAAGCAACAATGTTATTATTTTAAAGGGGGGTGATACTTTTCTATACCCACTGGAAATGGTCGGGAAAAGGACATGGTTCAGCCCAACAAACTATACAGCTACTGTAGATTCACGGTTTGCTGAATTTGTATAAACCCTGAATTTTTGTAATCTCTATATAAATAAGTAGTTATTCTCTGCAAAAAGTAATTTTCTTGCTCAGTATTCTTGTCATATTATCCAGTACAAATATCTAGGCATTCTTAAATAGACATACATTTACTTGAGAAACAAAATGACATAAGATATCAGGTCTTGTTTTCTGAAACATTTATCAAAATAAGTTTATTGTTTAAACAAGAAAAATTATCTGCCAGTGGGGAAGAAAAAAAAGAAGAAGCAAAAACTCAAAAAGAAAATGGATCTTGATTTAAGAATATTTAGACATCAGTACTGGAAAACATGACAAAAATACTAGTAAATATATTTTCAAGAAAATAATAAACAAAAATAGAACAATTGTGCGGTCATGTTAAATTTAGATGAAATTTTGTAAATGGTGTATTGTCAATTACACTATTGTCAATAGTGTGACAATATACAGTATAATGAACAGCTCACAGAGAAATCACTTCCAAACCAAGCAGTTTTGTGTTGTACAACATAGCGAATTTGCATGACCAACTTGAATCCAACATGAAATCTGCATTGAAAAATTGTTAACCCTCACGCAAAGTGAATTCCTGTTGAAATTAGTGGGTTTCACCCCAAAAAAGTTCATTGATCACTGGTAACTGTGACCGCACCTTCAGAAAAGAAATTTTTGTAGTGTTTTCCACTGCTGTTGGATTCCCCTGGGGCAGACAGCGGCTCCATTTACACTGACAGCAGGTCAACAGAAAAGCAGTAAGCAGATATTACATTCCACCTCTGAAGGACAATAAGATGTCTGTTTAAATGTGTAAGCAATTTCAGACTTTATTTTTATTAATTGTGAAAATAAATGGTCAGTCAAGCCACTTTTGTGTGCAGACACTCAAACACTTCTCCCATCTTCCATTAATGTGTCTAACAGATATCGACCCAAAAACATAGCTATAGTTGCTGAGCTGGGCTGGCTGAGATACTCAAACAGAGCAGAACATGTTTTGAAGTTGGTACAATGGTTATACTTATGGGCAATCAACCTGCAAATGGATTCCTTATAGTTGTCTTTGCATAATAAGTCTTTTATTGGAATATATTACCATCAAACAATTACACATCACCTGTATTTATGGTTATTTAATTATCATCAGTAATTGTTCTCCCCTCCCTAAAAGCAATGCAAGCTATGTGCAAGTTATGCTATGTGACCGTTGAACTGGCTCTTTCAGGACCTCCGGAGGCTCCGTTGATAGTGTGTCTGAGTGTGACCGGCAGCACGTCTCTCACTGTTAGCTTTCAGGAACCTGCCAGCATGAACTCGGCCGTAGTGACTAAATACAAAGGTCAGTGCAGCCATTTGTCTGTATTACACACACATATACCTGATTGCCTTGAGAAAGGGTGTTTTTTTTTATTATTCAATTTTTATTACAGTTATTACAGTGGGTATAGAAAATAATCACCCCCCTTTACAATAATCACATTTTGTTGCTTTGCAGCCTGAAATGAAGATGGACACCGTTTTTGTTTTATCCAGTTTTATTTACTCAGTGCAACTTATAACATCCAAGTGAAAGATATAACACCAACATGTCAAGAAAATACTCCTGGAGTATTTCAGTCCTTGGTAGTGCAACTGAAGCAAACAATCAACTATGGATGGCAAGGCACTGTCAAAAGATCTCCGGGATAAAGCTGTGGACAGGCACAAGTCAGAAGATGGATACAAAAAAATGTAATGGCTTTATCAATGCCTAGAAGCACAGTGAAGTCGATTATTAAGAAGTGGAAGCTATTTGGTACAACACAGACCCTCCCTGGATCAGGACGTTGCTCCAAACTGGATGAACGAGCCAGGAGGAAACTGGTCAGAGAGGCGACCAAGAGGCCTACAGCAACTCTGAAGCAGTTAATTCTGTTTTTTTATTTATTTTTTGCAGACAATTTGGTGTTATATCTTTCACTTGGATGTAATAATTTGCACTGAGTAAATACAGCTGGATAAAACAAAAACTGTGTCCGTCTTCATTTCAGGCTGCAAAGCAACAAAATGTGATTATTGTAAAGGGGGATGATTCTTTTCTATACCCACTGTTTCCAAAGAAACAATGCGAAATACAGAAAAATTACAACTTTCCCACTAACATTCTACATTACTTAACTAACAAATTGTATGAAAGGGGTGGAGAAGAGGTGTTTTATTACTCTTATTAGCACTTACACTTATTTTCAACAGATGATAAACAGGTGAACAAACCCATGGACTTAAATTAAAGGAAGGTCCCAAGTCATATCTGGGCATCTGAATATTATAGAGAGCTGGAGATATGTATCAGTGAACAGCCACCGTAAACCCCCTTAGCAACCATCTAGAGCATCTTAGCAACCACCCACAACAGCCTAGCAAAATGGTGCAGAGTTTTGCATGGACAAAAACCACTCACATTTTCTAATATAAATATCTAGTTATTCAAACTATAATGTTGTTGTAGCTGTAATTTCTGCAGTTGTCGTTATCATGGTCCTGTTTCATTCTGTCCTATTTGGTTTCTTTAGACTTCACTCATTTATTGATGTTCTCAGATTTTAACTCTGTATAATGTGTGATGATGTTTATTGCAGTGGAATGGAGCTGTCTGAAGGACTTCTCTTTATTAGCCGGAGAGCTGATCCTTCAGAATCTGCAGTCCCTGAAATACACAATAACAGGTCTTACCACGGTGAGCTAAAATTACTATGTAGTCTTTACTGTGAACCAGAGATCGATACTTCGAGTCACAATGTTTTCTCAGAATATCACAACATCTCGTCTCTTGTGCACTTGCTGTCACAAAAACAAATATTATTGTCTGTTCATTCATTGTACAGAACTAAAAACTTCTCTAAAAGTTTTAATAATTAATAAATACAGTTTTAGTAAATAATACACTATTAATTTAAAAAATAAATGGTATTAAGTATAAATTAGGAATTATATACTTTATTTTTTTATATAAGCCTCACATACATTCTTTTAGGTAAATGTGAATAATATTAAAAAACAATAAAGTATGTACACTGTAAATACATGTATGTTTAAATACATTAAATAAATTTAGTCATGCAAAGGGGTTTATAAAATTAACTTGTATATTGCTAAAACTACTTTGAAAAAGCCTTGATTTACAATTGTGGATTGTAGAATCTCAATTTGCAAACTAATGCACTTTTCTGTGCCATTTTATAGTATAAAGTTGAACATGTCTGCTGCCATTTATGTGTTACTTTATGTCCACAGAAATCCACTATAGTACAGCTTGTTATTAGTAAAAGATTTCTAAGATATTTTTCTTGTTTGTTACAGGGTAGACAATACTACGTTCAAGTGTCCGCCTACAATATGAAAGGCTGGGGTCCGGCACAACTCTCTCAGCCTCCCTCTGCTGTTCCCTCCAGTAAGTTCTGCAAAGCAGCCACAGTTGCCAAGTACCACAATAAAGGATAATTTAAAAAGAAGAACTGGAAAGTTCTCGAACCTTTGAGCATTGTGTCAGCATAGTTAGTTAAAAGGAAAGGAAATTGTATTGATTGTAGCCAACATCCTTGGATGTAGGACTGCACTATTATTTAACCATCACGGCTTCTACTCACCCTGCCACCTTTGATACTCTTTGGATCTGGCTGCAAAGAAAAAACGAACTGAAAAGTTTTGAGAAAGTAACATATCCAGCATTATAAAACTGCATGTACGCAATACAGACACAGAAAATTGTCTGGGTGAAATGAAGATTTAATCAAATAAATTTGAAAGAGAATATACCGTAAGGCTGTCCTTCCTATTTGGAACAGTTATTTTTATTTTTATTTTTTTAACTCATTATAATACATTGCATTCAGTTGACCCTCTCTTGATAACGTGTTGCTATTCAGTAAGTGCCCCAACAAGAATGTTTCACCATACTTTTGGATTATTTTGGGGTATTTTAAGACTATTAGACAAGCTTTTGCTCTTTTTTTTGTGCAAGTCTGACTGAATCAAATTAAATGTCTTTTTTGACATCTAGAACATGTCACAAATCTAAAGCTGAGTTTTGTGTGATATTTCTCTCTTTTAGACTGGAAGGACTGCGATGGGAGAGAGAGCAAGAGGAGAGGTCACATTGAGGCTATGGAGAGGCTGTTACAGCAGGTTCGAGCCACACACCAGCACTACTGCTGTGGAGGTACACATACACACACACACACATGCAGATCCCTCCTAGTGATTCACGTAAATACACAAACATCTAAGAGTAAGAACACTATCTCTCATTCACACAAACATGCACAAATGCTCCTTTTTTAGCTTTCTGGCAATTTCATTTATATAATTGTACAGAAAAAGGAGATTGAGAAATGAGCAGTGATGTGATGTAGCAAGACTCTGGAGCACATGTGATGTCTCCTGTGAGATACTTTATTGGATTTACATTATCTTATATATGATGCCTGTGTAAGATGCATGTAAGAGATCTAAATGTAGTGTTCAGAATGTTTTTTAATGTTTTTTTTCCCCCCAGAAAATATGCATTAAATAGACAATTTGATTCAAACTATTTTTATTTCAAATAAATGTTGTTCTTTCAAACGTTCTATTCATCAAAGAATCCTAATTAGAAAATGTCATGGTTTCCACAAAAATATTTAGCAGCACAACTGTTTTCAACATTGATTAAAAAAAAATAAAAAATGTTTCTTTAGCACCAGTTCAGCATATCAGAATGATTTCTGAAGGACCATTTGACACTGAAGAATGGAGTAATGACTACTGAAAATTCAGCTTTGCCATCACAGGGATGAATTACAATTTAAAATATATTAAAGCAGCAAACAGTTATTTAAATTTTAATAATATTACACAAAATGACTATTTTACAGATTTCAAAAACATAAAAAATCTTATATACTCCAAACTTTTGAGCAGTAGTGTGTTTCAAACATTTCAGGTTTATGAGCTTGGATTGATTGAACAATTATACTCAATTAATTGGTCAACATCCCCATTTGTCTTAAAGCAACATATTTATGGTCCCTGATATCAAACTGGTCCTCCTACCTGCCTTCAGAGCATAATAAATCGCCACAGTAGCGTAGGCGTATTCAATCATGTCTGAAAGTTTTTGTAATATCTCTGCTCTCCCATGTTAGCCTGAAAACCTATTACACTGTAAATGGTTCAAAACATTGGGAATCTCATACCTGCTGCATTGTGATCAGTGGTGCGGGGACACATTTTAGACCAGATTAATTCTAATTGATTAAGTGATTCTATACAGTCCAGTCACGAACCAATATTAATTAATAGTTAATACAGAGGTCAAGTCTGTAGTAGACTTCATATCCAAAATGTCACAATTAAAATGTTGATTAGAGTTGTGTGATGCTTCTTTTTTGAAGAGTTGTGTGATGTTTCTTGTTTGGTCTTATTGCTTCTTTTTTTCTTTTTTCATTTATACTTATTATATATTTAAATCTATTATATATATATATCTGGGGAATTTCACAATGGAATGAATATTTTATATTCATTTTATTTTTTATACATTTTTTATCATTTTCTAATAAATTATAATATTTAACTTAAAAATTCTAATTTATTTTAATTTGTTGCTGTAGTCATTTCATTCATATGATTTCAGACAGTTTGATACACTGTTTTATTCCAATAAAAATATATAAGATATATAAGAGCAGTGCTTTCATTACCGTGATTTTAGACAGTTTGCACTGACTGCTTGATTTAAAAAAAAATGCATATACCTATTTAAAAGTAGGCTGTATATCCTCTGAATCAGAACAGGAAGTTCCATTGCAAAATTTCCCAGATGACTTCATCCTCATAATCTCTGTTTTTTGCTCAGCTGGTGCTCTTTTATTTGCTTTCTTTATTGTGTTTGGTCTTTCCCTCGTCTGTCTCTCATAATGCTCTCACTCTTTCTCATAGTCTCTCTCTCTCTCTGCCCATTTCTCTCTCACTTCCACCCATCTGCCCACTCACCAGAAATCTCTCCCTCCCAACATCCTCTCGTCTTCTAAGTCCACACTTCTTCCAGTAGATTAACTCTGTATTAAAGTGACGAAATGAAGCATGGTCAAAGTGTTTTGACTCAAGTATGGCCATCCAGAGCAGTATGAATACACTCTCTCAGCATTCCTTCTGCCTGGCCTCCTACGCTCCTCACGCAAGTAGCGATGCCGGGGAGGAGGACATGTAAATAAATAATGTTTTAATACATTTATCCATTTTAGATTTTAACATCTATGTGTCAAACATGTCGTCCGTATAGTGCAGCACTGTAAATCACAGGGCTCAAGCACAAACATCTTTAAAACGAAGCAGGCTGGACGTAGCGTGAATCGTAGACAGTCTGCTTTGGCCTCAGGCCCACTCTCTAACCCAGAGGCCAGCTGCCGAGGTATAGAAGAACGCTGTTCCTGGTGCTGACAGTACTGCACTGCTCACAAACAGCAACTTCATTAGGCAGCTATGCAGCCGGCCACAAGCAGGAGGGGGGGTGAGCAAAAAAACAGCATCACTCATCTGTTTAGAAGTCAGCACTAATGATGTCAGAGAGATGGCTGCCAGCGTCGCAAATGAATTTATTGAATTGATTCTACAAAAAAAACATTGTATGAGAGTTTTTATTGATGTGGAAAGCAGAAAAACAGTAGAAACTATGCAAAAATAACACATCTGTCTTTGTCCATTTTAATTTAGAGAGAATGTGTGTATGTACATTGCAAAAAGCATTTTCTTCATCAGTCTGTCTTGTTTTTCAGTAAAAATGTCGAAACATCTTAAAAACCACATAAATTTGTACAAAAAAAAAATAGTTTATGATAATAAAAAAATATAAACATCTTTAAAACCCACATAAATGTACTTCTTTTTTGATCAATTGTGTTAGCTAATAATAGAATATATTCAGGATGGTAAAAACTGATAAAAAATATTTGAGAAATATTATCCTCAAAACAATATATATATATATATATATATATATATATA